TATGCTGTAAGCATCGATCTGAGCAGTGAGGATTGTTATCTGGCTCTGCAGAATGGTGATAGCCTCCTCAGAAGTAGGACCCCCTCGATCGATCGTAGGGTCATCTTGAGCCCCAGTGAGCTCATGCTTGTAAGCCACAACAAGATCACATGTTGGGTCATCATAATAAGATCACAGACCACGAGTGGTCACTACCATGATGTGGCAGTTTGCAATTTCAAGATCATGGAACACCTCTTCGAGGAGGTCATCCTCTTTGGGAGGCTATCAGAAATATCAGGAACTTCTTCAGATGATTCCTCTTCAAGATTAAACTCTGGCTCACCCTTGGGGTTAACCTGAGGTAGCTCCAAGCTAAGATGGACTGAATGAACAACTTGTCCCAGAATTGGAACAGTAGCCTCCGGAACTAGAGGTCATACTACAAGAAGCATGTCGGTGGGATCCTTTTGGACCCACTTCCTCTTGGGCAGGCAATAGCCCTCTCTTAGATATGAATGAGGGAAGTATTGGTAGGGATGTGCCCCGAATCTCGTATCACTACCAAAAATAGTATGAACCGAATCGGGGCAGAAGTAACGGTATTAGTGCTGTGCAAAGACTCACCTGATGAAACAGGGAAAGCCATGAGAACATGGTTGAATGACCTGACAGCCTAGAGAAGATTGAGGGGCATTATAGCGCTTCACTATCAGGTATCAATCTCTTCCTCCCAAGGGATGCAGGCTGGATGAGAGCCACTACAACAGAGACGGCTTGACATGGATAACTCCCCTTTCAAGTGGGAGGTCATAGAGCAGACGCCTTAGTGGGAATAAGATTACCTATGGTAATCTGAATGGGGTGCTCAAAATAATTGAAGGTTAGACACCCACGAGAGCATATAAAATGCTCAGGGAGAAGGAAATAGAATCCCCTTCATGCTCAAAATAATTGAAGGTTAGACACCCACAAGAGCGATGGTGACCACCTTCATGCTCGTCATGTATTCTAAGCAAAAACAACATCGATCAAAAAATAAAAAAGGTTAAAAAAAACCAATCAAAATAAAGTACGACGACTTTGATTCATGCAAAAATGTAGCAATTGAACTGTCAAGGGTACAAAAAAGGGACATAATGACATCAAATTGCTAATCATAGCATCTGATGCATGAATTTGAAGTCTAAGATCTAAAAAGACACAATAGTGACACTTCGAAAAAAAGAAACTATCACTAAAAAAGCAAGAAGAACCTCTTAGAGGGAGAGAGTGCACTACTCATTGAGGCTTTGTAAGTCTGTGAGTCCGACGGGACCTGCAAAACTGGCAAACATAACTCCATATATGGAAAGAGGTAGAATCTTCCTTGTAAGAGTTGTTAATCTTACGAATACGCTGAAATTCACAAGAAACAAGCAAAACTTCCATGGTGAAAAGAAAGCCTCATCCCTAGTGGAGTTACCATTCTATTTTTGTTCCTTTCCTCTTTTTTATTTTTAATGGTGCTACTAGTTTGTCAATTGGCGTAACCCTTTCCCGGATAAATCTCTCTTTCAGATCATATGAAGGATCAAGAGAAAGGAGGAGCTAGAAAAGGCAGAGAAATGATAAAGGGGATAAATAAGAGAAAAAAATGTGGAGAGTCTATGTGCAGTAAACATTGCATAAGTAGGTTAAGCATGTCTGCTCAAATAAGATCGGGTAGAGATACCTTAGACCAATATCCGTGAAAGAATACCTATGTAGACTACCCATAACTAGAGATTCTGGGGCGTGTGCCTATTTTGGGGTCAATAATTCTCTCAAGGGGACGTATCTCACTTGGTTAATTTTATCTTGTGGGTTGTTCCAGAATACTCCTAATGCAAAAGAGTTTTGCTTACATAGTAGTGATGACTAGCAAAGGGCTATCAAAGGGGGTCATCTAGCAAGGGGATGCTCTGATGCTCTTAAAGCTCTCACTATGCAATATGACGGAGAGTGAGTCTCTCATGGTCTTTATGTGGGTAATGAACTCATCGACATACGAAGCCTGTGAAATGACCGAATCATCCCAAGGGGAAATCCCGATACTTCAGAACATATCTGTGCCATAAGGGTAGAGGATAAATCGTCGTATCCCAAATAAGTGGCAGCTCATCAATAATCGGGTCATCAAGATGATGTGAACAAAGGTAAAAGGAAGAGACATGGCTCTAAAGGGGTAGTCAAAGGATGGGGGGAGTGATCCTTAAAAGGTAGAGGTAGCCGGATTAGAGTACTATGAACCCGTCATCATAAGCTGCTAAGACCCTAAGTCTACCCAGTCATGAAGGTAGTCTACCCAACACGTCCAGAGATCCCTGGTTAACAGTCCATGAATTGCATCATCCACGACAGATCCCGATAGCCCTAAGGTCAGAGAAAAAAAACTATGTCCTATGACTATAGGCTAGAGCTCTAAGAGGTGGGACTTGTACCCACCGAAGTGGTGAGGATGTCGTAGGAATGAAAGAGAAGTGGAGGTCCAGCTACAAAGCTAGAAACACTCCCAACAAAAGGAGTTACACCTATCTGCGGGCCTTCTAACACCCTACAAGCAGTTGACAACCACCTATATAAAATGGTATGATGGGCCAGTCGGGTTGAAGATGCACAGGGGCTTCTTCTCTAGACATGCAAATATGATGCAATTATTTGCCACAATCTTAAGCGTGGAGGCTCTATTAAATATGATTGGGTTATAACCATGCTAGTGACGTATTTTAAAACTGGCCTAAAACCATGCAAAAAATTTAAAAAAGATTTTGAAAAATTATGAATCTTTTAATCCTAAATTTTGATTAATCTTAATATTTTATTAGGATTTTTTAGTAGAAAATTTATAATTTTAGGGTCTTTATTGAGCCTAATTTATATTTTTTGTAATATCTCATATTATTCAGAAACAATCAAAAGAAAGTAGTTTAGGTATACATGTAGTCAGTAAATAGAGCAAAGCACTCAAAAAATATAAAGAAGGCCAAAAAAATGTCGTAGGGTTAGCAAATATCTCGGGAAAGTAGGAAAAGTGGATGGACTCCGCATATACATGCTCGCTCCTGGTCCCTGTCAAGTGGTTCAGTGCATCATCTGCCTCGAAACCCATGTTGCTATCTTATTTTTGATACAGACTCAACATAGGGAATCTATCAAATACACTGAAAGAGAAAATAAAAACCCGACCTGCATGAAAATAAGCATTAGCGACGAAAGTCAATCAATGCAAATTAGGTCGCACTTTTTAATCAGAGGAGCTATTGACACCTGCAAGTAAAGGGATCGAAACCACTATGTGCTCTCCTATAGCGGTACCTGTGTAAGTGTGTATGTAGGCACAATGCCTTGAAGAAGAATGCTCTACTATGCTACCATGCATATCAAACACACTAACGCACCAAAAAGGAAAAAAAAAATGACACATGGTTAACACAAGAAAAACTGACATAGAATGATAGCCAGAGACATCCAAAAGTACTACATAGAATTCTAAATCCTAGCCAAGCACACCATCTAACGAGAGAGTGTCCTAACCAGAATCTAAGAGTAGAGATAAGTCTCCAAGTATGTATAACTTTAGCTGGTTCGCTGCACCAGCTCTTTCCTATAGATCCAAGGGATCTAAAGGGTGTCGCCTAGAATAAATTTTGAAAAGATTTGACCTTATATATGGCATAGTCTACTACATGCATAATTTTAAAATTATGGCGGAGTATAATAAGTAAGAAGATATATATATATATATATATATATATATATATATATATATATATTGTATTTTAAAATAAGGGCCATTATATATGGCCTAGGCTGCTACATGCATAATTTTAAAATCATGTCAGAGCATAATAAGTAATAAGATATATATATTTTTATATTTTAAAATAAAGGCCATTAAGTAGGAAGTATGGGTGTGCTGATTCTATATATGTGAGGAAGAAGTGAGTAGCTATCTCCCCTTCACACATCAATGCATTGTTTTCATTACGAGATGCCCCAGAGAGTTACTACTCCAACTTTGTCCCTTCTAATTTTGGCCTAGATGAGATCATCAATTTCTTAACTAATGGGAGAGGGACTTGGAAGGTGAGGATTTACCATAAACTTAATGCACCTTCCAAAGCTTGTCATTATTTAATTTCTGCCAAGATCCCTCCCTCAATCAGTTTGAGTGAGTTGACACAAGAGAAAGAAGTGCTCAATTTCTGCATTCAAACCATGAAATCCATCGATATTAGAGCTTTGATTTATCACTCTATTTTCAATGCTACAAAAGGGTATCTACTTTAGGGTTAGGACACCCTTCCACTATTTTTTCCCTTTGTCAATAGTTAGGTGTCACTTTTGAGGGGTGGGAGAAGTTGCTTCATCCTTTGAAGCCCATGTCTAAAGCTAATGTGATGTTATATGATAAACACACTATTTTTGGGCCACAAGCGTGTTCTTCTCAGCCTTCCCCCTCGCAATCCTCTACTTCCTATTCACAGCCTTGACCCTGCACTAGTAAGGCCTCTATGTCAGCCATGATGGAGATCATAGAGGATGACATCTTCACCATCCAGACTTCAGTTTAAGATATTGCTAATCATATGACACATCTTGACTAGAAAAATAAATGTTAATCCAATTTTTATGCAGTGCTTATGCTGCTCAGTTAGAGATGTACCAGAGGAACCAGTGGATTGGCAGAGACAACTTAGTGGAGTTCCTAACTTGTCCTCTATTCCAGAGTATGAGAAGAAGTAGCTGATGGAGAAGAATTCAGAGGAGGACAAATCTGAGGAGGAGAAAAACGATATTGATGATGATGACGACGATGATGATGATTGATTTTATATAATTTTTATTGTTATGTTTATGGATGTACAGGACCATATTTTTGTTATTTGTTGCTACAACTGTTGTACTCTCTTGTTGAGTTTATATTTTGTTATTGTGAGCTCATTTCTATTTATTTGTGGAGCAATTTATACTTCTTTGATGTAGTTTTATTTGTACTTGTGTCGCTGCATACATGTGTAGTGTGCTTAAAACTGTTAATTCTATCATAGACACATGCTGTAGGAAGTAGGACGGCGGCGCCTAACCGGAACTAGTTTCATGGAAGTGTAAGTGGAAACTAGGTCTTCGAGAATGCCATCGTTACCGTTATGTTCATTGCCGCCAACCGCTACTGCTGCCAGCGTTTCAGTCGGCGGCCATCTCCCTCCTCCATGTCCTTCGCTCCCCTCCTGCGGTCACCGAATGAGTAGCCGCCGATTAGCTCTTTCCGTCTCAAAAACCCCAGGTGACACGACCGTTTCTTCTTCTTCATTTCGCGAGGCTTCTCCAGTCAGTACTTTCTCTGTAAGACGAGCGGCCATCGCCGAAGTGAAGGAATCTGCAGACCTGGAAGCTTCTCTCTCCAGGTTTATTTCTGAAATTCTCCGAGCATAGAGTATTTTTCTTTTGCACATTGATGATTGGTCTGAAGTGTTGAAACGCTGAATTTTAGAATTTAGGGCTTAATCAGTAAATTTACTATATTTTCCTATTACACGATTGTATTTAGTTAGAAATTATTAATGCCTTTAAATTTTACAAACTGTTAAATAATTCAAAAATGATAATTTTATTTTGACACAAAATGGTTGAAAACAAATACTTAATTTTCTAAAATTTTTTTGTTATCTGCAGCACCCAAAGAACAGGTGAAATTTAAGGAAAAGGATACTCCTATACGTTATGAATTCTACTTCGTGATGGAAAATGTGTATCAAACTAAGATTAGACCTCCAACAAAAAGTTTTAGGTGGTGTTTGACCGCAATCTAGATTTATGATAAGTAGGATTTATCAAATCTAGTAAATCCAATAAATTCAGATATATCAAATCCAATGTAGGATAGAGATTGAGCTCGCGAGCAATGACTGAATAAGTCGGTCTTACAATCGGATTTAATAAATCTGGATTTACACTGTAAAAGAGACAAAACACAAGAAAAAAAATGAAATGCGACAAAATTCGATTTAACAGAGCTTTGGATTTAATTTTCATTTTTTTGGGTGTTTGCTGGATTTAAATCCATGACTAAGCCCTTTTAACATCATGCTACCAAACATTGCCTTAAACTTAATTTTGTCATCTTCCTTGTTTTTAAAGAGCAAACAAATTTTACTAAGAATCATAAATTTTGTGTTATAACCTAGTAAATTAATGTTTGTGCTCTATTATTTAATATTCTCATCTCAAATTTGATTTTTTAGTAAAATAAGGAAATTTATTTCTCTTTTAATATACATATACAGGGTTAAGGGAATACTGCGAGTTCATGATTTAAACATCATTTTGCGATATTTTGGAGAGTCACGATGGTGGCGAGAAGTTAATCAGGTTGGTGAAGTTACAAAACATGAAGTGCTCATTATGCATAAATGTGTGAGCAAACTTGCTCATGCAATTTCATGATAATTAGATCTTTCTTTCAACATGATTATTATTTTTCCAATTGTGTCAAATATGTTTTTTGCGGAGGGAACCGACAATTCACATTGTTGAAGTTTGACCATCAATCACATAGTTGGTAAAGAAATAAATCAGATTAGATTAAATTTTCACTTCAATAAGATGTTTGTTACTCTCAAAAGAAAATATTTAGAATGCTTAATCTATGTAGGAAAAAAAAATGAAGGGATGTCCATCGGTTTCATTAGTTGCAAATATGGTACAAAGGTAACTTCTTAGAAGTTGCATTGTTTTGTTTAAATATTATAATGGGGGCATTGGAGGTTTTTTTCTCTCTTTGTTTGCGTGTGATTTGCTTCATTTGACTATCTACTAGCCTATGGTTTGTTTTAGGAAAGTATTTCTATTTTTGTAATCATTTTTATTCCTTAAAGGGGGATGTCATTTTCTTCTCATTCCAATTTATGATTAATGTCTCTTTATGATGTATTGATACAAAAATGATGACACATATATTATACACACATTATTAAAAATGTAGAATACAAACACAATTGATATGGCATTCTAATGTTATATTTTAAAGATAGATGTATCTATAAATATTTTAACTCCATTGAGAGGAAATAGTTATATGAAATTATAGATTATTAGTTTAAAGTTTAAGAACTAATTCTTCTATTTAAAAAATAAAAAATAAGCATTTAAAAAAAATCCTAGAAAGATTTAGTTGAATAAGGAAATTGATTAGTGTTAAGTAGGTATTAAATTGTTTATTTAATTTATTTTAAATTAAAGAGAAGAGATGATTTAACCGAAGTTATTTCTATAATATATTTATAAAGTTAGAATTTATTATTTAGGACACGTGTTAGATCTTCGTGTTATTAAGTTTTCTTAATTATTTTAATTGGTTATATAGATAGCGTGCTTGACATAGGTCGGGTGCGTGCTGAACAATACTTGTGTCCTACATATGTCCAACACGACTTGCTTCATGATTATGAAGTATCGATGCATCTAGATACAATTCATTATAAAAACCATTCATCATCATCAATTTGTATATATTTTTTTCCTTTGTAGATGCTAAAGAATTGTGATTTGAATTAACTTTTCATGCTAAATGTAAATTGTAATGGCCGATTGCTTGATTCTTGCTTGATGGTAATAGATCTACTTTAGCTGGAGCTTGTTCTAAGCCCATATTTAAATTTAATTTGTGGATTAAATAAAGATACATCACAATATAGATCTAGTGATGCACAATTATTGCTTTATATGTTAGAACAGTAGGATCACATGTAAATTTTCTTTTTAAGATCTTGCTTTGTAGCTACAACATGATATCAATTACTTATTAATGGTTTGGTTAGGAAAAATGGTCGACGAAAAAAAGTGCCTCACCTCTAAATAACCTAAATAATTGATAAAATTTTCCTCTTCATATTTGCAATGGTACATTTCAAATTTGTGCATGCTAGAAATATTTGTTGCTCAATAGAAGTAATGGTAAATATCATATACATATTATTTCAAATCTCTCCAAGCAACTCAAATCCTTCCATATTCTCCTATTTTATCTCTTGTAATATTTGCTACTCAATAGAAGTTATCTTCCAAGTCAATCACTAGTAAATATAAGACATTATTATAACTAATACATTTTATCATATAGGGTCTATCCTTGGTCACTTCTGTACTAAGCTACAAATACTATTTATTCTTTATTGACGAATTTTTGCCCTTCTATCGACTTTAATAACTACTAAATTTGATATATGCAAAAAATGACAACGGTGGGAAAATATTCTACACATTAAAATTTTTTGTTTCAATGATAGATGAGAATACAATGACAATCTTTTTAACTCTAATCTACGAACTAATGACTCTCCATCGGTATAGTTAATTGTACACCCTTGAGCAAAGTAGTTTTATTGAATGCAAGCATCGTCGCTTTATAGAGTCCATTTGAACTCTTATTCGGAGCTCATATACCATAAAGGCTATGGATCAATCTCTTACAGCAATTTGCTTTATTAACCATATTCACTACCAAATCACACATCAAAAATCACAATGTCATTTGCTATACTACAAGCTTACAAACTATAGCCAACTTCGAGTACTCGGTTGTGCTTGCTTCCTTTGGCTTCAATCTCAATCCAATCACAAAACCATTCCTCGATACACTTGCTGTGTGTCATCAGATATCAACATACTTGGTACACCCCAATTGGACCTTCCTGAAAGGGTTAACTGCAGTGCGATAAAAGTAGAAAATTAACTAAATCAATGCATATGTACTTGATTCATTTCATTTCATAATTCATTAATATTTATATACTTGAAAGTATGAAAGTTATATCATCAAAACATATATATCCATACAAAATTGCTAAATCCAACATAATAAAAATACAAATCTAAAATTCTGCAAAAACTCCTAAAATTCTGAAATACAAAAAATTGTATATTTCACACTTAGGATTTGTTTGGGGCAGCTGCTGATTATTTATAATCTGCTGATAAACAGATTATTCTGATAATCTGATAATCTGCAGATTATCAGAATAAGCTGGCTTGCTGTTTGAGACAGCTTATTCAGAATAACTTACTGAGAGATGCTGTTGAATATATGACCATTTTGACCCTGTTTGGTTAAACAATTTGCAACAAAATTATTTATGGAAAATAATAGATAAAACAAATGTCTCAAACTATTACAGTTCAGTTACAAAAATTAAAATATATTGTTCACCATTTCGTGAGTATCAAAAGAAATAAAACAAGAAGAAATACAATTACAATTATAAGTAAAAAATTAAAACGTTCAATTTAAAACTCTGACGTTGTCTGTCCTCAGCGACACTGTCCTCTTGGGAATCCATCGTAACACAATCTCTGTCGGCATGGGAGTATGTCAGAATGTCGGCCCAACGGAAGAAACCATATCTTGCTGAAACACCCCTCTGACAACCGTAGAACTGTCTCCCACTGCTATGAGGCTGGCGTAACGTAAGGGAGCCGGTAATCCGCAGTAACACAACACAACTCGGGAGGTCCTTGAAATCCCATAGCTCATGCTGCTACTGAGATAAAACAACAAAAAATATAATTTGTCAGATCATAAAATTAAATTAAGCTTTATATATGAGAACCGAAATAAAGGAAAATCGGTTCTACTGAAATACATAATCATTTTCCATCATTCATCACTGATCTTGCACACCGACAAAAACTTAACAGAACAAAACAAATAATTTAAAACAAAATGCAAATTCATACAGCAACTAATTACATCTCAAATGAAAGATACTAAATTCTTAATAAAACCAGAAAATACAAATCCATACTACAATGAATTACATAAAAAATGAACATTTAATAAATAAAGAAGCGTGACTGAATCAACACTCAAATATATCATCTGCGATAGACTCCCTCAAAGCAGCCATCTCGGCTACACCTTCACCGTCCTGAGTTTCAAATTCAATCGACTCGATCTCATCCTCAGGTAATGATTGACCAACGAGAGATCCTGAAGGTTTTGGAGAGTCAATAAGTTGATTGTCATCAGTCAAAGTGAAGTCCGCATCTGATTGAGAGGAATGTCATCGGATGAAGCTGTGTAGTGCCATAGTAGCCACCACAATATGCACTTGTTTGGGAAATGGATATGTCTGCATATCACGTAGGATAACCCATTTATTCTTCCATACCTCAAATGTTCTTTCAATAATCTCATGTAAAGAGGAGTGTCGTTTGTTAAACATTTCTTTTCTGCCACGGATTATGCCACTTGCTCGCTCAAAATCAGGAATATGGTATCTGGTGTCTGGATAGGGCTTCAAGTAGCCCCTCAACATCGTATACCAGCATCAACCAAATAATACTTCCATGTTATGAAAGATAATATTAATGAAAAATAATACATGTAATTTATAGGTTTAAGTGAGATGGACAAACCTGAAGATGAGTGAGGGAAACACTGTGTTCTATTCCTAGTTGCATAGGAAAAAAAACGACTGTCATGTGCACTTCCTTCCCATCATGCCATTACAAATGTGAAGCACATGTTGAAGTCATACACTGCCATGACATTTTGGGTAGTTGTACCACTCCGACCAATGTACATGATCTTTTCATGGCTTGTTAGTCGGGTATTTACATGCATACCATCGATTGCTCCAATGCAGTTATGTTACTCATAGTTAACAATTCAACATATTATGAAGCTAAAGTAACAAACTAATAAAACTTACTTTGAAATGCGACATGTAACGGGGATCATTTGCATTTTGTTCATGAATAATTGCTAACGATGGATCCGCTGGCATAATGTTTTGTGCTGCTAAGCTCGCAAGTGCTCGTATACCTTTGGAGAAGTATCGACTAATTGTTTCTAAGGAATGTTGAAATCTCTCCATAGTTCCTCTAACTGATTCATTCTGTGAGAGAATGTATAATCTTATAGCTCATCTCTTGTGGTCGTTCTAGAAGAACCTTCGAGGCCGTGGTTACGACATAAGTCGTGTAGAAGATTCATAAAAATATGCGCAATCATTCGAAAAATGTTGCTTAACCTTATCGGATGTCCAACAAGCATCTCACCCACTCATTTGTCCTCAACATATGAGGACATCATGCGTGGTAGCCGTTTAGTGCTGGAGCGGTAGTATTCCAACAATAATATCGTTATAGCTGCAGCCCATGCCATTCTTTTACGACGTTCTTGCTGTGGATCCATCCTGAAATTAGAAATGCATTAGAATGAAATAATTTATGGAGAAGTGGTGACAGCAAAATGAAATAGTAAAAACATCAAGGAGCACAAAGCATCAGAAAATGAATTACATAAATTGTTCTGGAGTACAAAACATCAGAAAATGAATTACATAAAATGAAATACATCTAGTGACACC